TGCATGCCTGCGAGTATTTCTACTAGGCCTAAGCCCTCGGCGCGCGCCTCGTCACCTGCTGCTGGTGCACATGGCGCCAAACTCCTAGAAACTGTACCATCACCAGTACTAGGCCCTAATTCGTCCTTATCAGCTTGATGATCCATAATAATCCTATACTAAGCTCTGGCCTATCTATGATCAAATAATTATAATTCAGAAGGCGGTCAGAATAATAAAGTGTACCTAGCTTTCGTGATTATATCTTCGAAAATTTTTCAGGGAAAGTAAAACTTCGTCTGGTCATCACACACGAACGAACACGACTGGTTTACGCATGCGCGATCACATCCCATGGAATTCCTGCATCAGCCCGGAGGGCAGTGTAGAATTCATCTCCATGGTTTCACATCGAGATTTCAGCATAAAATCTCATCGATTCTTCTTGTTCTTGCAAATCGGGGTAAGGTCACAGGAAGGTTTCGACTTAAAAATTAGGAAACTACATTTATATTAATTATTTTAGGCAATACCTGGTTCAACATGGATTTCACGCCTTCTCGTTCTTGAAGTCCACAATCTGGCTTCTCCCTCCCAGGTTCGAGTACAAATAGGCCTAGGGAGGCGTATCCTAGGGAGACCTACAGCAGGTAGTGATACCGTCACCGGCCTAGTCAGGAGGCTATCTAAATCTGTCAATGATATTTTGACAAATTCTTATACCATCCAGGCCATATGAAAATTAAAATAATCGCTATATAAGATTCGATGTTTCTCACTTGACATTTTAGAAATGTACACAATCAGAAGAACCAGTTATATTAATTATATAAATCTAGGTATATGTTTTTTTTTTTGTTTTTTTTTTGTAAACTGCGTATGCTGCATTAAAATTGTAACATTGTTGTACCATTCAGCACGCGGTGGTTGACAAACGTTATGTAGCAGAATTACAATCAAAACAAAAAGGCATTAAACCAGTGCATTTCATGTAGTGTACAGTATTATTTCTTTTCTAAAGTTATCTACTGTACTATCGAGCCATATTTACTGTACATTGATCTGAGACTAAAATATAAAGGGACTAACTAACCCAATCCATCCATCCATCCATCCACCAATCAACATGGCTTTGTATATAAATATGTTCAGTAAAGATAATAATATTAAAACAAATTAAATGACAAAAAAAAAATCCACACACACAGAAGCTTCTTTATACTGTAATTGAAACATAATGATCAGATTTAATTTGCAATGGCCTACATCTAACATACATCTTTTATTTAAATTCAACACAAATAGCTTGAATCTACACAGGGCCACCAAGAGAGGAGCTAAAGATCCCCAGGGCCCTAGTTTACCAGGGCCCATAAAAATTGCAGGTAGCATTTTTTCCCCATATATTTTTCAAAAATAATTACTATCATGGGCCCTCAATAATGTCATGGGTCCCCTAATAATGGGCTCCTCCAGATTGACAGGGCCCCATCAAAAAAATTATTTGCGCCTTTGCGCAATCTTTCTCGCGCTTCACGCTTGTAACTGGAGGCCCACACCAACCCTTGCGTCTGTTACAGTTTCCCCTCTTGGCGGCCCTGAATGTACATAAGGAATTATACATAGAGTATACACATCTTGCGTAGACCTTTTTGTATTTGGAAAGGCCATAGCATCAAAAATATTTCATATCCTGTGAAAAGGTTTATTCAAACAGAGGATAAAAGGATTTATTTACCTTTAATGTATCAACAACCTTTTAATAATACATACAGCATTATAAATAAAAACTAAAGATTGATAAACAAGTAATATAATTTTATATTTCAAATATATTGCTATATAATTAATTTAGTAATAGTTTAGTAATAATGTTCTCAATGTTATGCATCTATTAAAATTGTTATTCTTTATTTTTACAATTGTTTTTTTTTTATAATGCACATGCTGCCAACATTATTCTCTTCATTTACTTTTCTTAATAATATTCAAGTTTACAATACAAGTGGTAACAAACTTCAGCACCAACTCCTGTATACCAAATCCTGTAGGTCTACAGTTACCGTTTTTCAATCATATGAAAAATCTACTCATGACTACAGTATCCTAACTTACATTCTGTGATATTTTGTTTTTGTTTCTCTATTTCTGGTAGGGGACGTCTACGCACAGTTGGTACTGTTCCATCTGCATTTACTGGGTCAGGATATTCAATAGTTTCCAATAACAAAATGCTATGAAAAAAAGTATATATTGTATTTAATGATTTGTACGAAACACAAAAATCTCATGCATATTAGAGGCAGCTAGGCTAAGGATTTAAATACATTTTAGGGCCTACATTGGCCTAATCTAAGCTGCCTAGGTAAGGCCTGCATTGTCATTTAC